TTTAAAACCCCTTCACCGCTTCATCGTATAACGTTAGGAGGTAAGTGCCCGGTCATTACGTCACTCAAGCAAGCGCATTTCAAATCCAAGGAATGAAAAATGTTGCGGCTACGAGCTTATAGGTTACTTTATATAATTTCAGAGTTTTAGTACTGAGAGAAATGGAATCGTAAAAATTTACGTTTTGGGCGCGTCTGTCGCTCAGTGCTGCCTAGCACTTTTGTTTTTCGGCAGCCAAACACAACAGTACTAACACAAAGGTAACGAAAAATTCTTTACAATTAATTTAGGTAGACAATTCTCAAGAACAACGCTCATCAAAAAGTTATAATAATACAAATATTATAGTCGTACTTAGAATCGTCCATTAGTCTCTAATGACTAATGGACGATTCTAAGTATGACTGTAATAGTCTATAATGATTGATTAATCCATATATAAAGATATAATAGAACTACAAGACAGGTACGAAATCATTTCTCGAATATATGAAATCTAAAAAAAAATGAATAATTGAAATCTTTAGTAATGGCGTGAGAAACTATTATCTTATAATGATGACTGATGAGAAACTATTAACTATATGAAAATAATAAAAATTATTTTAATCATAAAATAGCTAAACAATTGCTCTCTCAGATATGAATATGAATTGCACCATTCGAGTATTATGTTTCCATCTACAATATACGCAACAAATAAAAATTCATTTTGTTAATATCTGGAGCGTAAAACTGAAGTTTTATAGTTCAGCGAATTGACTTTGTTCACGGTTATAAAAGATTCATTTTGGCAGTCAAAATAAATGAAAAATATCCTCAAACAGCTTATTTTCTCAGATATCGCACAAATGACGCGATGATTTCCGAAATAAATAGGGTTTACGCTAAAAAGAGTTTACGATTTGATTATGACCATTGATGCATAAACAAAATTATATATTTGTAAACAGTGATACTCAGCTCCGAAATTAAGCCTGATTAGTTAACGCGTTAAAAATCTTTAATAACTACTATCTTAACTATTAATTACCGTCTGGTTATAAAGTGAATGAAGTCCCCCGTCCACGTTTGTCTGTGTGTAAACGCGATAAACCCAAAAACCACCGAACGGATTTTTGTACGGTTTACGCCAATATAGTGTGATTCGATTAGTTTTATGTAAATTGGCTGTATTTTGATTATTGTTGAATAGTTCGCAAAAATCTTGCCAAAATACTTCAAATCAACGGGAGCGAAGATGAAGGAGAAAGCCATTATTACAATTTCTAAATGGGTTAAACTTAAAACTATTACTGAACCTCACAGAGTACTTACTACCTCCATTACGCGCTTTATAATTTATTAACACCTCACTAGCCGGCGACATCATCCCAAAGACAATCCTAGTCATAGACAATTTAAAAACAGAATAGTTCAAAATCCGACGTAATGAAACATGTTGTAATTATCAATGTACTTTGGCATAATCTGTGCCTGCTAAGAGTTGTCACATTTTATTTATTTTTATCCAGAGTGTCCTTACAAGAAATAATCATGTTAAATCTTTTCTCTCTAATTAATAAAGACAGTACTTGACCTCGTAAAATCAAGTCCTTTAGGGTGTGACATAAAAAGGGACCAAGTCGTTACGTTGTGGCACCTTTATAGTTTAACAATGAGAATAATACCTACTGAATGAGTTGACGGCTCGAGTCGTGACCCATTTTTTCTTGGCGTTATTAAACTGCTTATAATAAATAATTATTCTATCGTAATAAAGTAGTTAGCAAGTTTTGTGTAGAATGGATGAATTTATTTTGATGTTTCGGTATAGTATTCCTTGTGAAATCTTGTACAATTAATTTAATCTAGCGGTAAAAGGCAAGTAAAACTTTGCTCTATGGCCATATTTAAAATATCGAGGAAATTCGAATTAGTTGATAACGCTTAGATGAAACCAAAACATCTGAGCCTTATTACAAAATACTACATAACGCAAATAACTAAGGCCTGGTTGGCTGAGAGAAATCGCGCTGCAATTTGGACGCCGTTTCTAACAAAAATCTAATTATAATAAATAAAAATAATAAAACAATTTGCCTCAAAGTGCAAAAGATCTACCTATAAAACAAATGAAAAACTTTACTATGCATAAGAAATTACATAAATTTTTGATTCGAAGAATCGTAAATACACAGTCTTGAAGAATACATCTACACAGTCAGAGTTCTTACATAGATGTAATAGATGTTACCTTCAATGAGAAAACTTGAATATAGTAAAATGGAAAATGTATTCAACTAACTCAAACTTTCGTGAACGACAAGAAGTGTCATGTTAACGAAAGTGTTACCCTAAGTTTAACATGAAATTTTCAAACGTTTTCAAATTTAATTTCATACTTCAGCTATGACGTACTGGTCTTATTGAAGTAGTTTCCGCGTACATTTCTACATTTGCCTTCATACGTAAAGTCAGTCTTTAGGCAATGAAATTGGGTTGCCTTGGAAAAATGTCCTATAAGCGATAAGGGCGCTTGCTGCTCTGAGCCTTTGTGATTATGGTAATTGTTTTATTGTGTCCATAAGTCAAACTGTATCATTCAAACAAAATTACATCCTTATATCAATCGAACTAGGACCTAGATACAATACTATACTAAGGTTCATACTAAACTATTTCACACAACCTTATATGTATTGAACTGGGTGTTTCACCAGTGAACTACGGACGGTTAAGTATATTAATCTAGTACGTTATGATCTCCAATTAAGCGCATTCTCACAGCAACTTTTTCCAATTCTTTTTTACGCCATTCAAGCCATTCAACTATCGATACATTTTTTGTGATTTAAATTAAATTGTTGTCACAAAGACGTTCAGAAATTCTACAAACACATTTTGAATGTAATTTTTGTTTATTTGTCTTAATTTCGGTTTAATATTAAAAAGAGATCTATTTGTTTTAAACGTGTGAAACCGTTATAAAACTGAAAAACTAATAGAAAGAAAATGCATTACTATACTAGAGCAGCGCTTGGCCTAGCGACTTGAGCGTGCAACTATGCACCAATGGAATTTTCTGTCTATGTGCGCATTTAACATTCGCTCGTACGGTGAAGGAAAACATCGTCAGGTAACCGGCATGCTTTAGACCCAGAAAGTCAATGACGTGTGTTGGCAGGCTGCAGAATCAGATCGGCACCTACTTGCCTATTAGAAAAAGCTAATGATCACGAAATAAATACAGAAATCTGAAACCAAGACCCCAGTTTATATTTATACTTCACTACAACTGTAGAATTTATTCTAAATATTAACTGGTATACAAGTAATGGCCTAAACTGTTATAATTACTTACTACAGTGATATTGAATACCGACGTTTAAAACGAATAAAGGAATATAACATTGGTAAATTATTATGATAGGAACCCGAAATACATTCTCATACAACCAAGTTACATTTTCTCAGCGTATCCTTTATAACCATGCATAATAAAGCAGTAAAAACGACATAGTACACTTTTGTTTGCAGCACTGGAATTCACCATATGTTACCAACATGGAACCTCTTATTTCCATAATTTATGAGACAAAACCGTGCCTATTACAGCGGTGCGATTTTAAATTTGTATGAACTAGATTTATACAAATAATTTAATTCTTAAGTTGAAACATAAAAACTGGTAAGTAATTACAATATAACCTTTATAACATAAATTTCATTTTTGATGGTTTGGCAATTTTTTTTACGATATATGTATAGCTTTTGTATCACTCAAAGCAGTCAGAAAAACCTCGTGAAGGTTAGATACGTAAACTTATATATATTTTGTGACTCGTTACTTTGAATCAAGAAAGTATTATTTTGAGATCGAAAAAGTTTGCCTTTGACCTATTTGTTTTAAAACATTATTATACAGATTTGTCTGCCTTATTCCCCAATTCAATCCCCAATAACAAAACAATTTAAACATTGCCACTTCTGAGGTATAAAACAATATAAGGTAAATTATTTTAAATTTACACATTCATGATTAAGAGACACTGATATTTCTGGATAATCTAAAGCATCGTAGATACTAACAGTGTTGTCCTACAGTATCTGAATTTGACCTTTGCTTATCAAACTTTTGGATGCTCTGTTATTCCAGTCCCTTGTGTGAGCTGACAGTGTCGAAGTATCAATAATTCAGGCCGCAATCTGCCAGAGTTTATTATTTAAGTGAAATCCTACTCAACGCTTAGGATACGTTTAAAATTTAAAGCTTTAAGTATATTGTCGTGTTTGTGTTCGTCGTGCAAATTTAAGAAAAAAATGATTAATTAATAATGTAAATGATACTATTTGTTAACTATAATCACCAAGCAGTGTTGGCCTCGTGGCTACAGCGTGCGACTCTCATACCTGAGGTCGTAGGTTCGATCCCCGGCTGTGCAACAATGGACTTTCTATGTACGCATTTAACATTTGCTCGAACGGTGCAGGAAAGTATCGAGAAGAAACCGACATGTCTTAGACCCAAAAAGTCGATGGCGTGTGTCAGGCACTGGAGGCTGATCAATTACTTGCTTATTAGATTTAAAAATGATCATGAAACAGCTTCAGAAATCTGAGACCAAGACCTAAAGAGGTTGTAGCGCCACTGATTTTTTTTTATATGTTTACTATAACTTGCCTTAAACATGTAAACTGGATAATAAACTAAACTAAAACTAACTAAATGGATAATTTGGTAATTATCCATTTAAAATACAATATATGTACATAGAACCGTGTCGGAATGAACCATAAGTATTAAAACTTCGTATAAATTGAAAACTTTACTAATTAAAATCAGATTAATTCCAAAAAAATCGTATGAGCGACGAGCCGCGCCGAAATACTTTGGAAACAATGTCGTTATAAATTCATGAAACATTGTACAGAAATTAATTTTACATGTGCATATCTATGTACTTTGTTAAATGACAATATTATTTCAGGACAGCAACGATGTGGTCTAACACTGAAATATGGAGATGAAACGACACGATAAGCCGGGCAGCTTGTCGCCCGTGAAGATCAAGAGTGAGGAAGGCCGAGCTGGAAGGTCGGAAAAGGAGTTGAAGCTGCCCCCGGAGAAATCACCCAGTGATGATAAGCAACGACGCTTGTCACGGGCCAGCGAAAGTTCTAAGGGCACGATAGACAGGTAGTCTAGAAGTTTAAAGTTTTTAAATAATATATTTATTATACTTATATTGTACGAACATAGATATTTCTGTAAGCTAAATTTAGGCTTGCTAATCCGCTGCAACGTGAAATCATTAAAATAGTATAAGCCTCGGCCAGTAAAATGACAAGATTTTTCGTCGTGGGAGGAAATTCTTAGGTTTTCAGAATTCAGAGGTTATGGAAACTTTATTCCTGCAACAATTTTTTTTATAAAGGAATACAATATTTGTTTATTTGCACCGACTACTTTTGTACAGCTTGCTATTCAGTGGACTGTGAAATGTGTGTTTAAAATTTATATGTATCGAATGTCAGTAGTATCTGTATAGTATATGTATGTATAAGCAAGCTGAACTTGATAACTAAATATATGAAAACGTTAGGACCTTTAAGAACCCTTTAAGAACCTAACAACCCTACGGATCACTGAGCCCTACAGACGCACCCAAACACATTAGTAGTGAATATATAATTATATAAATAAGTACGGGATGTCTGCACCAAGAGACCTAAGGTACGGGTAGGATCAAAGGTTCGAGGTGCTGGGATTATCTCAAAGCTACCGGGAAGGCTCACCACGATAATTAAGGGCTTGAAGTAGTCTTCACCACTTTGAGAGGAAGCGAGAAATGAATAAGACAGAGCAATATTCAAATCTGATTTATTAGTCAAAGACATTATCTTATATACTAATTACAACTATTCACACATACATGATATTATTCTAGTGAGCTGTTGGTGTATCGCGCATCTTCAGCTGTTAAGATTTGAAACACCGTGAGCCTTGTCAGCAGATGATCAATATTCAAATATAATATAATTAAAATTGCTCTTCAGCTGCTAAGATTTAGAACACACGTGATCCATGTCAGCAGTTGGTTGATGTTCAAATGATGAAATCTGAACAACTTTTAATATAACATAAAACACAAGATAAAAGAATACAAAGTAACGACAACAATTGATGATGTATAGAAATATAACAATTTAAATAACATACAAATCTATATTATATTTACCCCAAACTTCTCTAATAAGCCCTAAGTATGTTATTAAATAGTTATATGTTCCTTCTAAATAACTCTAATTTAATCGTCTATAGTAATGTAATATAGTCGTTTTTTGCCAACTGGTTAGCTGAAACATAATACAATCAGTATTTGTTTAACAAATCTTTGTGTGTATTTATTTTCCTCTTATAAAAATAATGTTAGAAAACTTGATATTAATAAACAATCTCTTGATCTAATACAAAATTATGCATACAAATATTTTATCAAAACCTGGATTTAAATGATTACACTGATATGACGTTTTTATCGTGTTATTGATGAGACCTTTACAAAAGATAAGTAGTTTCAAAACAAAATAACAGTGAAATAAGATAAGTGAAGATAACATACACCTGAGATATACCTAATTATTTTAGTTTCATAAAAATATAAATAAAACAGCTAAAAACTCAACACTTGATCGTACGGTGAAATGTCTTAGACCCAATAATGGACGATATGGCACTGAAGGCTAATCTACTAGACTATAATTAAATGATCAAAAAAAGGGTGCGTGTACTTATGTACGCGCGTAAGAAGTTATACTTCTATGGCATTTATATTAAAAATAATTTTTGATTGCATACAAATAATTAATTACAATTAAATAATCAAAGACTGGAAAAGGAGTCCTTATAGTCAATAAAGTTCAGTTTACATTTGAAAAATTAAATAAATAAATATTTATTGTTATTCTCTTACATTAAGTGTAACATAAATTGTATTATTATTCGAATGTTGTTTTTAAATTATGTCCAATGCCGTAGCAATTTCCGTGGGCAACTTCATTCTGTTAATTTTGTGTCACGGTGCGCGCGCTTCGTAAAATTTCACTCTCATCAATTTTTCATAACACGCCTTAAGAAGTATAACTTCAAAAATCGGAAGCAAACTGAGGACAGGACACGTATGAGGTTTCTGGATTATTATTGATACTGATATTACGCGTTTTATTTAAAAGAGAAGTATACATAAAACTTAATAGGAACCAATCAATAATGACTAAAAAGTATAAAGGCATTTATACCAACGTGGTTACGCGATTTTTATGAGAGATTTTTAAAACTTTTATGAGAGATGTGAATAATCTTATTCAAACCTAATAAAAATTTTGACATAAATTTCAGCTATATTACGTAGGTACATTTAATGTCGTAATAAAAATAGTTTTGTTAATATTTCGTTCAAATATTATTGCTAAGCTAAAGTCATATCCACATATGAAATTGGGCTTATTTTTCATATTATTCGTATATATAGTTCAGTATTACGTACTGTTTTACGAACCGGGAAAGAAAGAGGAATAGTATATTTAAATTCATTGTACACTTCGAACCATGGTCACCTGTTTCCTCACGATGTTTTTCTTTACCGAAACATCATCGGTGAATCCGGGGTTTGAACCTCAGGTATGAGAGTCGACCGCTGAAGCTACGAGGCCAAGACTACTCCATGGTCCATATTTTCACATGTGCCCAGTTTTGTATGCATACCAACTCAAAACAATTATTGTTTCGCTGGGAATCTAGATGATTCGATATTTACGTTTTACCTTAATGCTCTCTTTACCGCTCTTTCTATCTCTTTATAACGTTTTCTTTAGCTTTAGATATAAAGTAGAGGGTTTACCTACATTACTCAAATTCTGAAATAAGCACTCCCAAGAGAGTCCTAGATTCCGTCTGTGTACTCTAAGGAGTGCTTAACTTTACCAAACATATTAGATAATAAATAATATACTATTTAGTGTAAACAACTATCACCTTTTAAAACGTCTATAACTAAATAAAGGCTGTATAGTATCTTTACACGCCCAAAATGTAATTCAAATTTCAAAAAAATCATCATAAATGCAATATAGAACAAATACCAAGGCATCAAAAAGGTTTTTTATTATTTATTTTAATTCCTTGTTTCATATTAAATACAAATAATACCTCTTTTATTTTATTAAAGAAATATTATACATATTTTTTGCCTTAATTGTTCATATGTGTAGCACGCCAAGGTGGGTGTGTAGACACGTCACTAGGTTCTAATCATTTAAAATTTGCTTACTGATAATTTTATCGCATACAAAAATACTCGTCACCAACAAACAGATATATAAAACCACGAACCTTTGTGTTTCGTGCATAAATAATCAAGAGTTGGTTCAGAGTGCTTTTAAGTAAAGTGGGCATAAATGAAATAATTATCGGTAAAAACTATTCGTTTGACTAAAGTAAGTAATTTTAGTTTATGATATTTACGGGAATTATACTTAGCGGTTAGTCTCGACTCTGTATGACATATACCCCATAAAGCCATAGAGTGGAAGGGCCTAATGGTAATATATATAAATTAACCTCTTAGAAGCTTGGTGTGCTCAGCGTGACAGTACTTCACTTTGGGCCATCGCTTGTTACTCGATAAAGCGCAAATTCGTACTGTTCCCTTTGGCTATGGGTTTCCCAATACCAGTAACCTTCCCAATACCCTTTTGACCGAATCTACTCAGATCAGCGTGAATTAGTAACGACCAGTTATTTTTGACCGCCTTTTCATCCATTGGCGTTGCGTAGAGATATAGGCTCTCTCTGCATCTTTTATCGCATATATCCTGGGGTGTGTTCCGAAGAACTCTTCGATTAATTGTAAAATTCTACCCGTTCCACATTGGCGTCTGGCATCCCATGACAGAGCGAGATAGAACCAGCTCTTGTTCCAGGTATTTGTTAAACGTTACAACTTAGGAGCCTTCAAGAGAATAGCGTGCACCTAAAAGGCCGGTAACGCACTTGCATAAAAAAATCGCCGTAAGTCTCGTTACTGAATTTCACTTATAAATAAAAAATCGAACATGACGCTTGCAATGTGACGTCATCGCAGTAGTACGCAAAATATAAAAAAAGCGGTGAAACTTTACAACGCTGTAACTTTAGAAATCCTGGCCCGATTTTGATGAAACAAAATCTTAATAAAATTATCTTTTATAGTAATATTTTTATACATTAGTGTGACTCATTGAAAAAAATCCATAAAACACACATAGAAGTCTATAAAAAACCTAATCAATATTAATAGACCAATGCCTGTCGCCCTCACTGTAAAGTCCGATCGCCATACCCACTCATGGTAGAGGCTAAACTTTGTTTTTTACCTAATCATAATTAATTCTATGTCATGTAAAGCAAATTAGCTTGCAGCTCCTTATTACGATATCTCCTTATACTTTGTCTTGCTATTTGTGAACTGGCTGTTAATGTTAATTTAAAAACATGTTTATTGACGTTCCTAAATGTAGGTACTAATGCTACGTGAATTATATTTGATTTAAATCAACTGAAGGTGTGATACGGCTTTAGTAAGGTAAAATCATATATTGAAGAAAGAAAGAAAAAATCATTTATTTGATTAAAGCACACATATTATGTATATAAAGAAAAATACAAACACAATGACTTTAATAACAAAAATGGGCTTTACTCTATACTTGATCAACAAAACCGCGCCTGTACTAGAGCAATATATAGTATTACAGTAAAGTATATAATAAAAAGGGACTGTGATAGCAAACAAATGTTTTTTTCTTAAAAATCCTAACCCTAAAAATACTATATTAGCCCTTTACAACATACAATTAAGTCATAGTTACTGTCGAATTATATTACAATATGGGACTCGTGTCTAATGCTTGATATTTATGAAATTTTTTACTGTTTTTCATTTAACTCTTGTGTCAGACACGGTCGTAAAGGCGTTTTTTATGACGCTAACAACGAATATGTTATCGACGAAAAACTAAAGCACCCAACTGAATATCTCTAGAGATATATGTATAAATGTGTTTGATTATGTACCTATTTAATTACGTAATATTTACTAATTCACACTATTGATCATGCATTTATCGTAATAAGAAAATATTGATATGTATGTCTACAGTAATCGTCTCAAATAGCGATTCGGCCCGGAAACAAATTACAAATTTTCTTATTATTTTTTTAAACAAACATTAGCGTAGTTGATGGAGTGGAAGGATCGTATTCCGTTTCCAAACCTTTTTTTAACTTAATGGTTAAACTTGAACTCCATCGATAAAGCGTATTAGGGAAACTATTCATTGAGAATAATGTACCAAAGATTTCTCTATTATATAACTATTAATTAGTATTAAAAGTAAAATTATTAAGTTATTATTATATTATTATTAAAAGTAAAATCTACAAATGTTAGATTTTACTTTTTATAATTTTTATTAGCATTCGTTCTATCTGAATACTGAGGGTACTCAGAAATTCCGTCGAAGTGAATTCGATTCAGCCGCGAACTGTTTGTATGGGCACGCCGACTAACCAATAGAAGAATCGATAGGCTTCTATTTCTAGTCCAATTTATCATATGACTTTTGACCTTTTTTACATGTTGATTTTCTCTGGACTGTGATATATGTAAATACATGATCATCCATACTCAATCTGGCCTTATTGAAGATTAATGTAAAAACTGTATTATAGCGACGACTGTCTTATGGAAATAAGTGTTAATACTGACATGGTACTTAACCCTAATGTAGATGTAACATCGAAGGTAAAAATTTACAATTAGATCCTATAAACTCGGTGATGAAGAGTATCCTTCAAGGGTAGCAGATTGTTTCCATTAAAATAATGGTTTCATTAAGAATCTAAACATATACTCGTAAACCAGTTTATTTTGAACGATGTATGTATGTACTATATAATCTGTGGATAACGCTGCTAAATGAACAAAGGCTACTTACTCAAATATAGCTATCTTTTCACTTCGCCTTTCATAAATAGAAAGCAATTTGCTAATAACGATTGGGTTGTGCGTCTGCTGAATTAACTCACATTTACAGGTCAATACAATAGTAGCCTAAACTCGATCAATGAAATTTAAACGCAAATAGAAAATACGTAAATTTATAGAAATTTTTTAAAGTTCAATCTATATATAATAAATTCGCAATTTTATTTTCACTAAAAATCAAGAAATCCATTGCCGATTTCTTTCTTTTGAATTCAGCTTTCCATTTCGAAGAAAAATACTTTTAGAACCTTGCTGTATTTACATAGTGCATACAACTTAAAAGTATAGTATAAAATATTCTTTAGTACGTTTTAACAATAAATCTACTTCATATTTTCACTTTATTACAGACAGGACTCCAGATCATCGCTAAGCCCAAAAGTTCCCCGCAAATACTTCACTAATTGGAAACAAGCTTGCGATAAAACAAAAGATAAAACGAAAGAACTGCTGAAGCGTTGGAAGACGTTACCGGAAGGTGAAGCTGCACAGATGTCAGAGCCCGGTCGCAGCGAGGAAGAAAAGCACGGATGGAGCGTACACGTTTGGAGTAGGTATTTATATTTTTACACTACAGTATAAACTTTTTTTTTTGAAGCTATACTTCTTTAGGCGCGTTATGAAAAATTGATGAGAGTGAAATTTTACGATGCGCGCGCACCTGAGACACAAAGTTGTCAGTGTGATTATAGCGTGCGCGAGCGAAATGGGAATAAGACAATCTACAAGTAAAAAGAAATAGAATATGCGTGAAGTTAGCAGCTATGCCAAGAAGTTTGAATGACCATAATGACATTTACCTTTTAAACAAATAAAGGAGTTTTAATTATTTATGTAATGCGAGGCAAACGGGCAGGAGGCTCACCTGAAGTGGTACCGTGGTTATACCGGCCATGGACACTCACACTGCCAGAAGGCTCGCATGTGCGTTGCCGGCCTTTCAAGAATTGGTACGCTCTTTTCTTGAAGGACCCTAAGTCGAATTGGTTTGGAAATACTTCAGTGGGCAGCTGGTTCCACATAGTGGCGGTGCGCGGCAAAAACTGCCTTAGAAAACGCTAAGTAGTTTTAATAAACTAATATTATATTAACTACACAACAAAATAATGATCAAGTACCACGCGCACATGTAAGATGAGTAAGTGGGGATCAATTAATCCAGGCTGTATATGCCATGAATCATTTATAGGGGTGCAAATTTACATTAAAATAAGCCAGATTGTCTATGTGTCTTTTCCTATATAAAATATACGAAACACAATATGTTTGAAAATATCCGATATCGTGCGGCGATGCGAACCCATAGGGAATTTAATAGGGATTCGTAGCGTTGTAGAGGCTTCCTCGTACATCCGCTACGAACATATATTTATCGTAATATTTACTATTAATACCTTTATTTATTATAAATCAGTATTACACTGGTTGTATTGAATTAATTCTTCTCCCTATATCAAATGGAGGTGGATAAAGCCTCACTAATCATGCGCTTAAATTAAAACAGTATAATCATACTCATATGCATTGTTTTTAATACTTTTGAATAAAAACTTACGTAATAAAACGTAGGTTTGTTCTATTTATTCTTGACACAGAAACTACAATCACGTTGGCTTAGCTTCCATGTTGATTACGAATTCATTTACAATAACTATGCAAAAGAAAGTCGAACAAACCAAAAAGATACCCGATCAAATACGCATAACGAGAAGGTCCAATATAAAAGAGGAAGGATTTTATAAATTCAAAAATATGATGGCAAGAAACCTATCTATACAAGCAAATCAAAAGAGAATCAAGCCTAGAAAGACGTCTAAAACGAAGATTTACAAACGCTAAAATTATTGTTTTTTAGTTACTATAATTTCCAGCAGTGTTTGAAGGTATTGTTTGATACATTTATAATGTAACTGTGAAATTAAAAAATATAACGATATAATTTCTTTGAATCAGCTAGTTCTGGTTGTTGCTAGTATTAAAAACTCAAGTCTTGGCAAATAATATACAGGAATTTTTAATTGTGAATACTTCTTATTGCCACAGAAAATTACAAAAGAAGCCGAATTTGTGTTTAACATTAAGTAAATGTGTTACTAAACATAGACAATAACTACAGTGATTGCCACAAAATTAGCGACTAAGCATTTATTATACGACCTGAATTGCGCGGACATATTTTGAAATTAACAGTTGGTAATGCGTTGTTAATGGCCGTAAATTATTATAGGAAGAGCTTTGCTTTGCTCAAACCGGATGTGAATAGGGAAATATTTAAATCCAACTAACGTTTGATTCGTTTGTATTTCCATTCATGAAATATTAATCGAACTTCGTTTGATCGATCTCTTTTATTCGAAGCTATTTTCTGAACGTTGTGGATGTGATAGAAAGAATGTTACAGTATGACTACTATTGCTGTATTTAGTGTGTGTTGTGTTTTTAATTTATTTTATAAAACTTCAAAAGCAATTCATGAATATACGTGTATCTTAACCCTTTTTTTTTAAAGAAGGAAAGCTTTCGAACAAAGCATGGGACTTACAAAAGTCTATCCATCCTCTCTAAGGGCCGATTCGACCAAACAAGAGTAAATCTTAATCTTAGAATAAATCGTCAGTTAATCGAGAGTAAATCAATTTTACGTTTTACCAACTACAAATTCTAAGAATAGTGGGCTTATTCGGGAATAGCTACTATACCACCGTTTCGCACGGAATAACAGCTATTCCTAGAATAATTTAATGGCGTCAGTCAGTCCAATCAGCTGATTTCTGTCATTTCACAAATATGTATTCTGTGTTTTAATTTCAAGTCAACGCAACGCACTAAATTAATAGTCTGGCATTGTATAATGAAACGTTTAAACAATTGATTATTTATTTATTTATTTTTAGATTTTTTATTTTCTATAATATTAGAATGAAATTCAACTAGGCTCAACAGAAGTTCCTTTTTAGACGAAAGCCTCAAACAAACAAGAAATAAAAACTTTTTGTTGTCGTTTGACACCTGTTAAAAGCTACTTTTTCACTCTATAATACGGCAAAATCGAGTTGACATGATGTATGCTCTTACACTGTCCCGTTGTAGAACAACATTTATTTGCCGAGTTTTATTTTCGTTCACCATTCTCTTGCTATTCGCGTATTGTTATTCCTAGCGCAATTATACTATCGATTACGTGGACAAACGACTATGGATTTACTCGAGATTAAAATCATGGAATAGATTATTCTTGATATAGTTACTCGTATATAAATTGAAGTTTGGTCGAATCGACCCTAAATCACTGCCACAAATAACGAAAATTTTACGGTCTCGTCGGTAAGAGAGTATCATTTTCTCGGGTTATTCGAATAAAGGGTTATAATTTCTTGCACCTGACACGTGATCTGCCTGATATAAAACCTTAATAAATAAGTGAATTTAATTTCTGTTCATATATTAAAAACAACAACTTTACTTAAATTTTATGAATCATACTATCAACTAATTTATGGTTTATCCAAAATCTTCATATATAATTCAATATTAATATTAATATGTAACTGTCTATATTAAAGACTAAACATTAGGTAATTTTAATTCTGTACTACAATAACATTGTTCGATAAAGTTTAAAAGTAAAAAGTTATAAGGTTATATTATATTATTATTATGGGGTCATGCTGCTGATGTCGAAACTATTTTCATCCTGCAGAAGAGGGCTATTCGTGCAATCTATAATTTAAAATGTAGGGAATCTCTTAGAGATAAATTCAAGGAAATTAATATACTTACCTTTCCCTCGCAATATATTTATGAAAATATTATGTATGTATACAAAAATAGTGATAAGTTTACTAGAATAGAACATACGCACAATGTTAATACACGGAACAAACGCAGGCTGCAATTTCCCCGTACTAGACTATCTAAAGTTAGTAATTCTTTTTTGGGGAAAGGGATACTCTTCTTTAATAAAATCCCAGAGGCTCTTTTATCTCTGCCTTTCAATAAATTTAAGAAATTAGAAATTTTATAAATTAAAGAAAAGCTGTGTAAAAAGGCTTACTATAAAGTCAACGATTATCTAGTTGATAAAAGGGCCTGGGACTAGTGCTAGACAGGCTACTTCTAATTAATTTGCGATATTTGTTTTAAATAAGTGTTGTTTGATGATTTGCTGTTTTAAAAGAGTACCGAGAGTTTTTTACGCCGGGTTTTTCTCTCGGCCTACACCCTCTGTCTTCTTTGCCGATGAGTAGGGATGCCTAAAAGTTCAAATTTAATGACGTGGAATAAGTGATACATGTATCTTATGTTCCATAATAAACATATTTTATTTTTATATATTAGATATAAGTTTCTTCAAGAAAAGAGGGTACCAATTCTTAAAAGGCAATAACCACAAAAGGCAATGATGGCAACGATGAGCCTCCTGCCCGTAAGCCTCCTGTTTTATAAAAAAACAAGGTTTTCTCTGTTTGAAATAACACTTTTTGTCGTTGATTTTTTGACCCATATACAGATTAAATACACATCAAACGCACTGGCACAAAAACTGACTTTATTGAAAACTGTCCGAATCGCTAGATTTATTACAACACACGGGAACCCAAACCGAAAGTTATGTTTTGACATTTTAGCACGCGATTATATCCCTATCTTCAGAATTTTCCTATTCATATATACAGTATTACTGTTGGGATTAAATGATTTTTAATGCAGAACCCATATAGTCTAATCAGAAGTTTTGACAATTAATACATTACTTTCGCTGAAATCATCGAACACGCTAAAATATTTCGACATTACCTCCTCTTAATGCATTGTATCACGAAAACATCTTAAAAGATTTTCCTTAAATTCCACTTATAAATAAGGGGGATTTGTATATAAAGTAATGGTAGTATCAAACCTCGCCATCTTTTTATTTATAAACGCTGAATCCATGAGCTAAATAAAAGGCGACTGAAGCGGCAGTTGATAATAAATGATTATGAGTATAAATAAAATGTTACTTCTTAAACATACTCGTACCTTAGAAAATTTATATTATATTAATTTCGTCCAGTATTAACCATCAATAAAAGCGCACCAGAAATAAGATGATATTATTCTGTAATATTAAACCAAGTCAAAGGACTCAAGAAGAAGCCAGCGGTTTCTTTGAGACGAGGAAGAAAAGCTCTTCATTTTACTATGAAAATTTGAAATTGTAGTATTCACTGCAGTTTGCCAAGTGAAATACGTCTCCGTGCAATGTTTATTTTTAAAGCTTTTTGAATATAATACCAGTGTATTACATAACAGTTTCTGTATTGCTAGTAGTCACGCCTGTAAACAGTAGTCTTATAATTTCAAAAAAACTAAATATAAAAAAACGTCTTCGGTGATTTTAAGGCACGGTTTGAGATGATGGTATATGTCGTCGGGACAACGTAGTAACGGGAAGCGATTTTTTTCAGGGACAGATGTGAATTCTTACAATAACTTAATACTAATGTAATAGAAAGTTAAACCAAAATGAGAAAACCGTTTATAAATACGTTTAATACATAGGGGAGG